CATCAGCTGCACGAGGAATTAAGTACTTCGAGTGAAGAGCATACAACTGACTTTTCACTAGAGACAGGAAAGAACTGCACAAGGTCATTGCAATTGATTGGGTAAGACTGAGTTCTTTAGCGTTTGTTTAGCTTGGTAGACAAATTTTAATTTCAGTTAAGTATTTTAAACAGTAGTTGCACCACTCAATTTAGCATTGTGGTCCCTTGAAGTAGAGTAGTCATGTAAATACAACTCGAGTGGGGAGGAAACACTATAAATCCCTAAAAATAAACTTTTAATTTATAGGAAAGCGTTATTTGTGTAGTGTTTCTGTTCAGTGGCCCTTCTAATGATGAAGCTAAAATGGGATGTCTTAATTTGCTGTCATAACAGCGTAAACGATGGACACCTACGGTCTTTGAGGATGCAATCAGAAATCTGCTGAGGAGGACACAGGATAATAATGCAGGGAGACATGAAACTGAACTGAAGACAGAGTTGTACATGCCTGATAGAGGGGGAGATGCTAGTGGCAACATCTGTTGTTTGATCTTCAGGAGCCTGTAAGAAGGGTGAGTGTGGGGGAATTTCCTTACCACTGGTGACATTAACAGCCTGAGGATAACATAAAATTGTGAGTTGTGGAATGACTTTCCTTCAAAGTGTCATTGGCTTTGTGTTCACTGTATATGATAATACACTTTTCAAAACTCTTTTCTGAGGAACTGGTTATGCATATATATATATATATATATATATATATATTATTGCATCTTGTTTAATAAAATAGAACCAGTCTGTGAAGAAGTGCTGTCATTTACTCCTGTTAATAGCATCTTCTAGAAAACTTTCAGCTCCTTATGAGTATGATCCTATAGATAGTACACTGGAAAAAATAGTGTCTAGCCATGAACACAGAGAAATCCTCAGACAACTCCAAACAATATACTCTTATTTGTATCACTGAGAAAAACCTGTATATAGTATCATACATGCATGCTGTGTATCTCCATGTGTTCAGCAGATATATGACTTAAAAGGAGATCAAATTCTGTACAGGCCTGATCCTGTGAAACATTAAATGCCTGTTGGAGTGGCAGTAACTCACAGCCTGGAGTTGATTTAGAGACCAGGTTTACCCACCTGGCTTGCTTTCTGTTTTGTAAGGTCAAGGTCATCTTAGACCTATGATTTAGGGGGAAATACCACAAATGACAGCTTGCCTTTGAGGTAGCAGTGAGCATGGAGTGATGCAAGAGGTTTCTACCTGCTTTGTGCAGAGGGGAACTGAGCCCTCTTCCATTTTTGTTTCCCTCTGTCATGATGTGACCACCATACAGCAGCAGCTGGTTTTGCCAGGGATCAAACAATCGCCTTGCTTACTTTTGCAGGTAGTTTTTTGGCATAGACCTTCCTGATTGTTTCCCAGGAAGAGTTTGCTCACTGCAAGGGGGAATCTTAGAAAGAAGAGTAGAAGAGGAAGCTGAAAGATGCGTGGCCTTATTTTGCTGCTCTGCATTAGGACAACTGCTACATGCAGTACCCAGAAGCTGTATTTGTTGCTGTTGCTAGACAGCTGTCTGCCACCTACTTGAGCAGCCTACATACATCCCATGAGTTGCAGAAATTATCACTTCTCTGTCCCACACAAGACAACAGAAAGATGAGAGTTTTTGCATGAATAGATGTTTCCAGCTGAAAAATCCCACACACATCTGCCAGGTTTGGTTTTTTTTCCACCTCCAGACCTTTTTAGACATTTTTATTACTCCTCCTTCCCACTGACCAAAAAACCTCATGGTCGCCCATAGACTAGAGAAGGGAGATGACCACAAGGACAGATTTGAACCGACAACCTTCACCCAGAGTCCTTCAGGCTTCAAGGGTGAAACAGCTGTGGAATGTGGGAGATGTAACCTGCTCTGGAATCTGCCCCTGCACCAGGGATGCACAAAATGGGTTTAATTGCCTCAGGGGAATCCCAGAACACTGCAGACCGGTAAAGCTAGCATCCCTACCATCCCTACACAATAGAGTGTATCTCACAATAGTGAGATAGAGTGGGCCCATGTATAAATCTGGTGCACAAGAGATTATTAAATATGACTTTCGTCACAGGATATACCACACTTCTTAGTTATACTAGAGCTTACTGAAGAGCCAATGCAGTGAATAGACAAGGGGGAGACAAAATAGCATCCTGTCCTTGGATCTTCACAAGAATCTCAGTTGAGTCTCACCATAGAGATACCAAAGAGGTTAAGCTATTATGTTATAAGGAAGTCGTCACATAAATATGAAACTGGTTAAAAGATAAGAAATAAGGGGTAGGAATCGGTGAATGTTTTCTGCAGTTAAGTGGGTTCAGTCATGAGAGGGCTTGCCTGCGGCCTGTGTCATTTAATGTAGCTGTCAGCAATTTGGTAAATGGAGTGAGCTGTGAAATAAGTAAGTATGCTGATGCACTAAGATATTAATATCAATTTAGTTATTCATATTCATAATTAAATTTGCTGATGTACTAAGTAATTCAGGATACCAGGAAGGTGGTTTGGCTGCAAACAACTATTAAAGGACTTCCAATACTTAGTGGCAAGGTGATAAAATATCAGATTAAAATCAGTGCTGATAATATACAGGAATAGAGAGTAAGGATAGATCAATATGCTGCAGAAGTGATGCATAAACTGCAGTGACTTTCTGAGACAATGATGCATTTTCTTTTGATTTTTCCCCTTTCTAATTTTAACGACTAGATAGTAGATAATATCTTTTCAGTCCTCTGCATGTGCATCTGTGAACCCTCTCAAGTTGCGTAGCTGAAAAAATTGCTCTGACCTTCTGTAAAAAATGTCCGATGCTTCTTTTATGTTTCTCTTTGGAAATATTTAGGATAGTCTTTAAATTAATTTCACACTTGAATTTAGCTTAGCTGGAAACATCTTCCTCACTTGGATATAGTGAGGAATGACATAAAAGAGGAGATCCAGGATTCCCATGGATGTGAGAGAAGAGACGACAGATTTTCATGTTAAAAGTGACCCCATTTGTAAGGTATACAACAGAGGGGAAACACTGTGGTCTTGTGGAGGCTGATTTTTATGATGTTCTTCTCTGATACTATTATCACATTAACAGAGCAAAGTGAGGAATGATTGATTCAGCAGTTTGTGTTAAGCACCCTGTGGAAATGGGTTTCACAGGCTTACACTGGGTAGGGAAAATTGGAGGAAGGCAAACATGAGAAACAAACTATTTGGATTCCTTTGAGCAGTTAGGTAACTATGGCAGTGCTGGTGAATCTGCAATGATGTCAGGTTTAACATGAAAGGCTTAAAGATGCTTTAAACATTTCTAGTTGAAATAAGGATGCTTAGGGGAGAAGAGGGCAGGAAACGAGGGAAAAAACCCAAACCAAACCTAACCAAAACCAAAACAGACACCAACAAACAAACAAAACCCAAGCCACCAAACAACTTATATCAATGCACAAATACATTCTGTCAGCAGTGCTAGCTGCTACTCCATCTCCCAGCTGCTCATTTCTTCCCTAATTCTCTGCCCAGAACTAGGATGAGAAGAACCTGGGAAATTATGTGACTAACCAATAACGCCTCCCCACTACTCTTGCTGTTTTGAGACAGATTTGATGAGGTAACAGAATGAATGCATGTGACAGCACAGCACAGAAAATGGCACAGGCTTAGATACATGCAACTAGGATTAAGATGGATGAGTAAATATTATTCCTGCTGGGTGTATAGCAATGTCTTTAATTGCTTTTCTGTGGCAAGGTGAAGAAGGACTGTAGACTTTACAATTTATAGTCTAATGAAGTAGCACCCAACCAGTCCTGGCTTTAAATTAAAAGAAAAAAAAAAAAGTGTTAATTTAATTTTTCTCTTCTCTCCTTTCTCTTCCCGTTTTCCTTTTCTTTCTTCTTCTTTTTACTTATTTTTCTTTCTTTTTTTTTTTTCCATTTTTTTTTTTTTGATAGAAGTTGCTATAGCTGGCTTCACTTCCCAGGAAGACAGCTTGTCTCTTATTTAACTAATACCTCATGAAAGAGCATGTGCACAGAGACTCATTGCCTATGTTAAATACATACTGAGGCTTGTCATGTTTAGTCCTGGAACAGCATTATTTCACTTGCATCTCACATGCATGTACATGTCTCTGATGAGTACAAACAAGAGCAGCTGTTTCGTTCAAAATCACTTCAAGTATCCAGTATTACTGAGTCACTTTGTTATGATTGTAAAATGAGGATATGAGAGAAGGTATTTTACACCGAGGAGACAGCTGAGCCCATAAGAGTAGGAAGAGCTGCAACAATTACAACCAAACTCTTTAGGCTTATTACAACAATTATAACTAAACTTTGGGCTCTGTAGGGTGGTATTTCTGGAATTTGTTGATTCGGCTCAAGTTCGGGGGGAGTTGGAGGTCCTATATTGTCAGGAATACCAAGGAAAATCTGCCCCATTCTCAGTCAGACCAACCAGTTTGCCCTAGATAATTTGCTTAGTAAACCCCTGAGGACTTGAGCATCAGGAAGCCCTACCAACTCACCTCCCCAGTCCCAAGCCCAAACCCAAGCCTTTGAGACTGGCCAAGACCCAAGCAGCCGCAGGCCTCCAGCTTGTACCATTCACAGAGAGTCCAGCGGATGAGCTGACCTCAATCTAGGCTCCAAACTTTGACTTGCAGAGGAAATGAAAAGTGTATTTTATTTTAAATCAGAGTAACAACAAATTTTAAACGGTCAAAGCCTTCTTATAGGCAAAATTATACTTCCTCATGCAGATAAAATCAGAATTTGAAAAGCCTGGGAATTTTAGACGCTTCTGCCAAATTTCTTCAAAAACATTGTCCATTCCCAAATCTTGGGCAGGGAGAAGGAGATAAAATACGGCTTATATATCTTGGCAGGGCTATCTTCTATGACAACATAAAGCAAGGTTAGAAGTTTACCTTGCACAGAGATTCTGGTGAATAAACATGCAAGCACTCTTCAATATTTATTTTTTATTTAATATCCAAAGATCAAAAATTTTCCATTGAGAAATTAGACGGTTTAAATAATATTCTAGTACAAAAATATAGTCCTTGAGATAAAAACTTCCATACTACTACCTCCAAATAAATAAAATGACATCAGACACATTTAAACAATTCAGTACAAAAGAATACAGAACTTCTCAAAATCAGTGAGTTGTAGTTAAGTAAGTGCAATAGAATTAGTCACATTTCCTGGAGCTGCTAACTAGCCTGGCCTCTTGGGAACTTCAATGCATAGTTGTCACCAACTAATCATCAATCCCCTAGTTTGTTCAGAAAAGTGCATGAGCATTTGCTTGCCTTTAAGCATGTCTACTTGCTTGATTTGAATTTAGATATGCTTAGAAGTAAGCAGATATGAGTATATTTTCATGAGTACAGAAACTTCCCCATATTGGTGCTTGCATCTTCATGACAAATGAATGAATGAATGATGAGACTAATTTTTATAACATCCCTCTCTCAAGACAGCACCAGATGGAAAGCTGGGTACCGTACCATGTCATTTCAGGATTTCCAGATGGAAATTGAGTAAACATTGCCCCATTCTGTATTTTCAGGTCAACAAACATATAACAGGTAGACAGAATTTTAAGACAAAGTCATTTCTTAGACAGTAGTAGGAGGTATAAATACTTTGGTATTCCATTATAAATAATTATTTAAAATACTTAAATATTAATAAATAAATGTATAAAAATTCTGTTAAAAGATTGAAATAAAAAACGTGCATCATAACGATATTTGCACAATAACTCTGTACAAAATGCCATATAATGTCATTAGCATTTGCACCTCCTCTGAGACTGGCTCCTTTTCCTTTTGAGAGAAGTTGGAGTCTCCACGAGTTTCTGCAGGACACTGAACAGCTCATGCACAGCTTTACGTTGAATTTTCAAGTCACTCATCTATTATAAATAAGAAACAAACAGAAGGAAGGTCATGCCAAGAGCTATAATTATTTACTGATCACAATGTACAGGCTACACTGCTACCAGGATAAACCAGATGGACATCTGCAGTTACCAATTACACCATTCCCTAATTCCTACCATAAACACCCACATTGTCACAAAGTTTTGTTTTCCACTTTCTGTACTACTACACAACATGCTACAGACCAGCCATATACTGTAACACTGAGCTACCCTGTAGTTATTGTGATGGCATATACCCACTCAAGCAGCTAACTCCACCAGGGTATTGGCTGCAGACCTCTGCAGACGTTGATAGTTCATGCTATCAGCAATTGTTCAATAAGCCGAGTGACTCCAAAGCATGCGGAGGTGTGTCATAGCCAGGCACAACTCTCTCACCCATTTCTAAACCACAAATGGCTGTGTCAGTGGCAGCTCTGGTGGGCAGATGACACGGCAGAGCTGCCAGCACCTCTGTGCCGGACTCTAGCAAGACTCAGGACAGCAGCCCCCATGCTGACACCCCACACTGCAGACCCGCAGCAGCCCCTGCAGCTGGAAACAACAGGTTTTCCAGTGTGAACTGAGCTAGATGGGGATTACCCGATGGGTTATAAAGCATTATTGGCTTGACTCACACTCAAATATCAACAGGAAATTATAGTGTCATGAGTCTTAAAGGCAGAGGAAGAGCCTTACCTGAAGCTTTGCCAGGTCCTTGAGGTCTTTCAGCTTCTTCAAGCCATCAGGAAGGCTGTTTTTCAGAGTATAGAGTTCCTCAGATATATGCCTGATGTGCGCCTTTGACTTGTCAGCGTTTTCAAGCATTTCCAAGTACATGGAAACAATCTGGCTCAGGATGATTCTTTTTTCATTTCTCTGTTGACAAATACAGTCAGAAAGAAAGGTTTGTGAGTGCCCATCAGCAGGAAAGCAAACAAAGCTAAAATGTTTGCTCATGCTTGTCCTTCCTTAGCTGGTTACACCGGCTCTGGGAGCTGCCTTGTACCAAATGCGCCCTGCAAAGTGCTCAAGATGCTTTGTTGTATCTCTCTCTAACTCACCTCTGTCCAGTTTATCAGTTTCTCTGTAAAAATAGGTCCACCGTCAGCTACATCTGAATGGCTTGAGTTCTGCAACAAAGAACAAACATATCTGTTATACAAACAATACTTATTACAAGGCAAATTTGTGTTCTCTATTCAAATGAGCAATAAAAAACAGAGACACGATTTTTGCATTACTGGGCTATTGCTATTACAATGCTTTCAATTCTATAAGCACCAAATTGCATTGTATGACTGCCCAGTACCAGAAATAGCATTAGGCTGTTTTTCAAAGTCTTCTCCTGCTATAAAAAAGACATTTAGCTCTGTCTACTTTATCAAATACTCCTTGCAAGTTGTGGTATTGACAGCTGAATATCAAAGTTCAGAATCTTAGCAACTGGCTAGCAAATTGTCAGATCTGATTTTGGCATGTTTTAAGTCAAAGTCCACCAGTATGTGGTCTGTGCACTTGAATTTAATCAGGCTTAATAAATCTCATTTGAAACAAGAACAAACTAATTTTACTATAAAACTACAGTTTGTGAAACTGGAGAATAGCCCGGTAGCCCACAGGTATGGAGAAATACAAGGTTAGTGGAATACTGAGAGGTTCACAGGGACAGAGGTTAACCCTCAGATGTTAGCCACGCACAGTGGCAGATTCTAGGAAACAAAGAGCAATACAATTCTCCTACCAAGGAGAGGTAAACTGAGTCATTTCCTTTTCTCTGTGTGTCTTTTGTTTTTTTCTTTTTGTATACAACAGTCACTATTTCCTTTCTCATCTGGTTGGTAATTTAAATACAGTGAGTGCAAAGAGAAAACTTGCAGAGTGACAGAAACCTCATATGCTGATTGGCTCCCCATGCTAACCTTACCACCAGACTTCATTTTGCTGTTCTTCTGAAATGTGGGGAGCACCTGCTGTGGACCAGAGTTTCTAATGTCAGTGCAAGAAACTCACCACAGTTCAGGATGTCTCCAACAGAGTTATACATATTCTAGTGAGAATCTCTCTGATCTGTGCTAATGACAAATTTAAGATTTAATGCCAGTTTTACAGCCAGTTTGCTATCCCTCTGCAAACACTGAAGCATCACAATAGGCTTCTTCATGTGATACTTCAGGATGATTCTTTGATGATTAAATTTTAACTTTTATATGCACGAAATTTTGACAAAATGATAGCTGAAAACAGGAGCAAACTCTTGCAATTGGTTTCATGCATTTAAAGAAAAAAAAATATATTGAGAATAAAAGCTGTTAATTAGAAGTGACTCCTTTATGAATCTGTTATCTCTAATCCCAGCTGAAGTCAACTGTGGAGTACTTTAATGCCTCCTAGACGAAGATAGGTGATTACAGTTATCAAGTTATCAAAATGAAAAGAAGTAATACAATGCCAGATAACACTCCTATGCCAGATAACAGTCATAGATATGTAAACAGAATGGCTGCAGGATGCAAAAGAATAAGCAGCAGGAACCACCTTTGGGCAGGACACCACTACTAGTAGTAAGTACCAGATGCATTTGTTAAAGCAAAAGGTCTTCTTAGTCTTCTCCATTTTGTTTATATTGCTAACTATTACTAAATCCCCCCTTAACATTAGTAACCTAAAACTTAAGAAAGTGTCTGTAAACTGCCTCTATTGAGAATTGAATCAAGATTAAATCATTCATCATAAGTGTCATAAACATTTCTTGTTATGAAACATTCCATGTAATCAAAGGCTTCATAGAGCTAGTAGAAGCTCTTATGAAAGGAGGAATGCCCCTGAAATTAATGCAAACTATTATTTACTAAAACTATTGAAAAATTGTATCATGTTAGTGAATGAGGTTAGCAAAACCAAAGAAATTGTCCATATTCTTAACAAAAGGTAAAGCAAAAGGTTTGTTCTATGATTACCCTCTATTGGTACACATTGAGTATGTCAAGCAGGGCTCAATGCAGGACTATATTTAAAGCACAAGGAGATGACAAATGCAGTAGAGCACCATACTTACAAAGTCAGCTTTCAGTTGGTCTATATCATTTTGGAGGTGAGCAAGAATTGAGCTATTTCCAAAACGTCCAAAATAAATCATGATGACAGACAGAGCAAACAAGCTGTAGGTCTGGCAAGTCATTTTCTTGGTGATGGCTCAGTTAAACTGCTCAGATAAATTCTGGGAGATGTCAGTTCTAAGAGCAGTGAGCTTCAACTTCTAATAGTACACTCTCCTATTAGAAGAAAGTAGACGAATGAGCTTCATCTGCCTCTCAGTGGTATTTATACATGGTCTTGAAATTTTTTATTTCGTCATCACAGGCTGTATATATTTAGACAAGATAGTGTTAGATAAGAACCCTTTAGTTTTTTCTAATCAAGGGAATCCCTCGAAAGCATCTTTCTAAAAGCATGGTCCTGGAAAAATTTTCAGTGGTTCACCAACGGGTAACATTTACGTGGCAGATTCTGAAGTTTCTTTTACACGTGGCTCGGGAAAAGGGGGAAATTATGGTACTGACTGAGGAGTATGCATTGTGGCTCAAGCATATTCTTACACCCTATCAGATAAAAATCATATTCGTGTGGTTAAAGGGTCAGTATAACAGTCAACTCATTTCTGGTATTCTTTTAAAGTAACCACTGAGATTTCCCTGGCATTATTCAGAGTCACTTAGAGATCTAAATGCTCTCCCTACTGCTGTTGTTTTGTGAAACACTATTTGCATTCTTTCCATAGTCTAAAGTACATTTCTGCCACTTTCTCATTCTTCACCACCAAATTCAGAATAGGATAAGAGAAAATGAGGTTCCAGCATGGATACGATGATTCATCATTTTAAATTCCTTTGTGGTTGTCTACTATCTGCAAAGTATTTAAGTATTCAAGACACTAATTTCTACTTGGCAATAATTAAAGTTCCCCATTTATCCATTAATTTCCACTTTTGTGTGTAGAAGATGAAAACAGAAAGGCATGCATGAAAAAAGAAGCCCATTTGAAGGAGATATAAAGGATGGTCTCCAAGTACATATAGACCCCTGAAAAAAAAAGTGTATTGAGGATAGCTAGGCAAAGGGGTTTTGTATGGCAACTGAACCCTGCTTTGATTGTTATCATGGTAAAAGAGCTTACTGCATAGAGTCTTACGAAGAAATCAGAGTAATTCTACAACATAGTATATGATTGCATGGTAGGCAGGAGCTTCCAAGGGAAACAAAGGAGCCCATAGGGAAAAAGAAGAAAGAGAGGTTCAGGAAGAGGGCACAGGTACAGTTCACACAGACTACAGTGGAGGGTGACTGTAGCTAATCAGAAAAAGCTGAAAATTAAACTGGCTCCAACAGGTATGATTTAAGTTCTCTAGCACAGCCCCAAATGACTCTTCTGGCTCCTGGCAAGAAGCTGACCTCTTCCTCAGCAGCACCTCGAATCTCAGCAAATGACCAGTAACACCACCAAGCATTTTTACCATCTGCAGCCTGAAAGAGGACCTCCATCTGTGGAATAGATCTAGCCTACTACCACCATTGCAAACAGTGAATTTCCATTTTGCAAAGACGAGAACCAAATTTCACCAGCAAAGGCAGGCCCAAAAGCTGTATGCCAAAGCTCCCTGGGAATAGCAGTGTAGAGAGATGGCAAATCTCACAACAAGTGCTGTACTGCAAAAAATTTAGGCCTGTAATGTGCTTGGGGTAGTAGCACTATGCAATGCCCATTTTGGTTTTAGTTCAGTAAATTAAAATTGGTTAAGCAATAACTTGATTGCTGGAAGTGTTTACATGGAGGTAAGGAGATAATGCTATTCAAGGATGCCTCAAAGAACTGTAAAAAAAATGTTATCATGCCTGCTTGTGGCACAAGTGTTGGACTAGACAATTTTCACAGGTCTCTTTCGACCCAAACCATTCTGATTCTATGTTTCTATGATTACAATCATAGAATCATGGAGTCATTTATGTTGGAAAAGACCTTTAAGATCATTGAGTCCAACCATTAACAATACTGAGTTCACCACTAAACCATGTTCCTAAAAGCCATATCTACACATCTTTTAAATACCTCCAGGGATGATGACAAAATGGAGGTCCCACTGAGATTCAAAGTGGACTCACAAATGACAGAAGGCTGAACAAACCTATTGATAATGTTAAAACATCTGGATTGCTTTGCAAGACAAACATAGGCAAATGGCATGCTGTGGCATGTAGTTTTATACATATAGGAAAATTAAGCATATTTTACATGGTGGGAGACACCCGCTGAGGCACATCGACTGGCCATGAGTCTATGGAGTGATCCATTGGCAAAGGAAGGAGAGGTGTCAAGAAGTAGGAGGAAAATTATTCTTGTTACATATGGCACTCTTTATGCCGTCAGAAATGTAAAGCTGAAAAAGGAACTGGGTCATCAAGCCCAGTTTTTGCCATTACAGGTTCCAATTTGAGCAGTGCTTTCCTGTTGAGTTACCAGAGAGTGTGCAAAGAAGAGCTGCAAGTAAGGAGTTTGAGAGAGATTATTTACTCAGGCAGCTCAGTCTTCTTAACATGCTGAGGACAAATCTTAACACAACTGAACACAACTAATTGCTGCAATTATCCAGGCAGGAAGAAGATACAATTTCAGGAGCTGAAAGGTTAAGTCAGTTCTGCAGAGAACTGTTCATTCCAAGTGAATGCACTGGATTAAACAGCCTTGCTAAACCTATCAGACATATCCACATTTGGCCTTTTATTACTACTAAACCTTTAAGCATAACAGCAGGATGAAATATCAGAAAGAAAAGATTTTCCCAATTCAACTTTTATAGATACTTGTTAAAGTTTTGGGGGCTTATGTAGCCAATTTTATCACTTGATCTCCTCACATTTCAGATGCGGCCACTGTCACAGTATCATAGTATCACACAGTATGTTAGAGATTGGAAGGGACCTCGAAAGATCATCTAGTCCAATCCCCCTGCCGGAGTAGGAACACCTAGATAATGTTACACAGGAATGTGTCCATGTGTCAAGTGTACAAATTTGCAGGTAAGAAAATGGCAGCACAGAGCAACAGGATGGTTTATGATCACTTAGCATCTAGAAAAGGCAAATCTGGGAACACAGACACACACTCTTCATAAAGACTTCATAAAGACTGAGTCAGGAAATAAAGCAAAGAGTAAAGAAGAAGAAAGCCATGATGCGTGTTTCTGTCATGTTATCTTCTGAGTGTAGGTTTGGCTTCCAGGTACCTCTTTCTGTCCATGGAGGCTAGATTAAGGCCTTCTACTCATCTACATTCAAATTCTCACAGAAAGGGTTGAATGTTCTGTGGTAAATCACCAGCTGGACAGAAATGTGTTCTAATACAGAAATACAGAATTCCTTTTCCAAATCTTTACACTTGAATAAATAGCACCATATTAAAGCTGACATGCTCATTTCATGTTCTCTTCTACTGACACATAACATTACCTCTCTTCAAATTGTTCTGATCCTAGACAACAGTCTACAGCAGATGGTCAGAACGTGAGGGTCCTTCAGTCCCTGAGGTCCTGTGCACTTCCCAGGGCTGTTCTGCTTCCCATTCCACCAGAAAGTGATGAAAGAGATCCCCATTGTCTAGTGCATGTCTAGTTGTCCAAGAATCATGGTCAGCTTCTGAGGAAGGCTCAGATTGAGATGGCTTCTCTGCACTGCCTTTCTGAGGGGCCCGTCTCACCAGGGCAGAGTAGAGGGGAAGGAGGACCTCTCTCGACCTACTAACCACCGCCCTTCTAATACATGGCCTTCTTAGCCACAAGGGCACAGTGTTTACAAAGAAAAGCCTATACTGGAACCTGGGGTTGTTCCTGCCCAGATGCAGGACTCTACACTTTCCCTTGTTATATTTCATCCCGTTATTCCCTGCATCAGTGACTGAATCAGCTGACCCAGTTTTGTCTAGTGCATGTCTAGTTGTCCAAGAATCATGGTCAGCTTCTGAGGAAGGCTCAGATTGAGATGGCTCCTCTGCACTGCCTTTCCTGAACATCAACATGGTTACAAAGAAAATAGGGAGTACCCTGCAAGTATCTACCCTTTACTAGGTAGAGCCAAGGGACAAAGAACATGCAATTTTTATCCATGTTCCTTAGTAGATATCTATCGAGTGCATGCTGGAGGGGACTGAACACTCAGTACTTAACAAAAGCTCTTTGTCTCAGTACTAGCCCTAATCTAGCTGAAAGAGATGGCAGAATATTATTGAAAAGTCTTGTGTTGCATTAAATTGGAGTGGTCCTTCTGTGTGGCTCCATAGTCACAGCTGGACTGTCATCTCTTCCAAACAGTAGGAAATGAAACCAAGGCATCTTTTTTCATTTTGCTGCCTGGAAGTCATCTGACTCTTCATGTAAAGCAGAGGTTTCACACCTTTCTGTTCACACACCACCTTACACCAATTACCCGATGATGTCCTTGTAAAGTCATGTCATATTTCACTATGACCACTGATTAAAGGTTTTTCCCTTTCATTTTTTGTTTTATGCATACTCCTCAGCGTGCTGGCTGAATGGTTAGTAAGGAACTGCCCTTACCAGCCTAGCAGATCTCTGCCAGACTTTCGTTTCTCTAAAACTCAGTGGCTTCCTCTATTACCACTGCACAAGGAAAGCAGCTCAGAGTTGGAAAACCCTCTCTGACTTGTCATTCTGAACTTACATCACACTTCATCTTTTAGCCTTCCTTTCCTATAAGCAGCAGAAATAATTTCTTCGCTTCCTGCTTCACAATGCTGTGGTGGGTCATTAGGTGTGTAAGTGATTAGAGTTAGCATGTACGCATTGTACCAGTGCTATGTGATTACTAAAAATTTTTACTTGAGCTACTACTATCTGCAAAGCAGATGTCTTGATAATCAGGCCTCATGACCACTCTCCTACAGATATGGATATTTCCTCAGTGCTACACATCACAGAGGATGTAGTTGTCTGCTCCTTGTGACCAACAGATCGCTGTGAATTAGAGGATATTCCCAGTGACTATTAGGGATAATGTTGGAATAAAAAAACTTCTTCGCTTTATAAGAACAAAATATTTGGGGCAGAGGGAAGTTCTGAAATTCTCAAGATTAACAGTTTTGACATCTTTCTAAAAAAATGCTCTATTCTGCCCATTCCAAACACTTTTGGGAAATGTTATTGTTTGACAGTACTGGAGAACCAGTTTGTACTATCTGAAATATGACATGAG